CATTGAAACAACCAACTCTTGATTTCGGCTCTGGTTATGATCCCAGGGTTGTGGGATTGAGCCCTGCATCAGGCTCCATGCTGAGTGTGGAGCTGCTTAAGATTCATATTCATTTTCATTTTCTCTCTCTCTCTTTCCTACCCCCCACCCCCCACAGCTTGCCCTACTCATGCTTGCTGTCTCTCAAAATAAGAAAAATAAATGAATATGGGCTAGATACAGTGATAGCTCCGAGGAGGGAATGATTTGTTTTGTCTGGTTTGGGGGTTGAGGGCCAGTAAATATTCCTGAAGGACTGAGCTGAAAAGGAATTTGACTAGGAGACAAAGCAAGAGAGAATATTTCATATACAAAGGCACATACTACATATTTTATTCAAGATACCAAAAATAGTTTACTATTACTTGTGCATGAGATACAAAAGAGAAAATGGAACTGAAGAGTCACACCTAAGGAATTTGGAGTTTTTGCTGAGCCCGTGAGAAGCAACTGAGGTGCTTGAAAAGAGTTCAGGAAGATCTTGGGATTCACTTATCGTTGCTTCCAAAGAGGATTTTGGTCCTTCCGAGAGCCCACTGGGAAAGAGAACATAGTCCCCTAACTTCCTCTTCAGAAAGATCAGAAGTAGTGATACAGGGGCACTGAGGTGGCTCAGTTGGTTAAGCGGCCGACTCTTGATTTCAGCTCAGGTCATAATCTTAAGGTTCATGACATGGAACCCCACATTGGGCTCTGCATTGACAGCATGGAGCCTGCTTAGGATTCTCTCTCTCTCCTTCTCTCTGCCCCTCTCTCACTCACGTGTGCACTCCTGCTCTCCCTCATTCTCTCTCTCTTTCAAAGATAAACAATAAGAAAAAAAAAAAAGGAAGTAGTTGATACAGTTGCATAGTAGACACCTAGTAGTAAATGAATGACCTCCACAACACTATTAGGGAGAAAAAAGGTGAGTGGAAAATGATGGAAAGCACAAGAAAGAAAAGAATTTCAAAATAATAAGTGCATTGCAAATGGCCAACTTTCTGAAAGTTGAACTGTATTTGAATAACTCATGTTCCTCAATCCAGATCCAAAGATAATATTGCTGCTGCTGAAACTTGGGCTTTGTACTGTAACCAGAGTTTATTAATTGTCCTATTTCATTGAGGAAAAAATGCAAAGCAGACAGAACACTGAAGTAACTAGCTGGAAATATTCCATGACTTTATGGGAAGCAGCTTTCCAAATGATTCGTGTGGAGGCCATACTCTTGGTCTAGCCAAAATAGCTCTAAAGTGTGTCTTGATGGTACATTAAAGAAATTTTCCCCCAATTTACTTGTTAAGATTTACAGCCTTTCTGCCTCCTCAAAACATAGCATTGATTTCTTTAATATCAAAAAATAATTTCCTAAAATAGATTGCTAATGACTGCTTTCAGTTATTTACTTAAGGAGGATCATGCCAAGTACAGCTTATATGGTTTCCTGTAAAAGACTGAATTAATTTTATAATTTTTATAATTAATGTTATTCCTGTTTTGTAGGAATATGCTACTAACGTGACTGGTCATTACCACATCTTATTTTGATATCTCTTAAAAACATTTTCACTTTATAAATAAGATATTAAAATATTGATCATATGAAAGAGCAGAAAAATATCCCTTATTTGTAGACCAAATGTTAATTAAATTACTAAACACCAGAGAAATTAAAAGTTGCATCTTAAAAAAAATTAAAAAAAATAAAAGTTGCAGCTTAAATAAACCCTATCAGATATTTAGTGGAGAAAATGGAACTATTCTGGGGGGGTATGGTTTTTAAGGTTGACCTCTCCATTATAGCCATTGTAGAATATTTGAATGCTCCCTAAAAAAGAAAGACAAAGAAGACTACACAGTCATTGTTATCAGTTTATAATTCATCCCTCTCTTTTTATGTTTTTTTACTTTATGGATCATATTCTAATCCAATTTTTTCAGTCAACAATTGACATTTTTAGTGTTAGAAACATAGTTTTTTTTAAATGGCTACATATTACTCGATCAGGTATACCTACTATAGTTTAACCATTTACCATTGTTGAACATTTAGGTCGTTTGTGTTTTTTTCTGCTTGTTTGTTTTTCAGTGTAAACTTTGCATATAATGTTTTGTCTTACTTTAGTGTTATTTCCTAAAATGCAAACTCCAAGGGGTCAAATGTCATATTTTAAAGGTCCATTGCTCAAACTGTATTCCAAAGCTCAGACCAATTTACACTGTAATCAGCATTTTATCTGCCCAAATGCCAGAACAGAATGTCAAAAAATATTTCACTAGGGTCGTTTTGGTTAAAATGTTGAGATGATCCAGAAAACCACCAAAAAGAGAATATGTAGAGATAAAACAGTTGGCTGACTGTGTACATATTTTAGTAAAGCCTCAATGTTAATCCAGAAGCCATTATTCATATCCGTGATGTCTTAGACATGGGAAAATGCTTCCAATTTTTGCAACATGAAAGAAGTATGATGACAGTGACACAACTGAATGGCTAGCCAGACATGCTGATTTGAAAGATAGAGTGAGGATTTGAATATTGTACTCAGTTTCCATTTAGACGTCTAAATGTTTTTCACTCTGAATTTGGGAGTTTGCTGTAGAGATATTTTTATAAAACTAGAAAGTAATAGAGAGCAAGTTTGAGATTGCTGAAATGTATGCCACTGCCGTCAGAAGTTGCAGTCCATTTATCTTTATTAAGCTGTCAGCTTGATTATATTTTCTGTAATAAAGGTGTTCTAATTTAAAATTAAGAAATGTTTAATTTATTTAGGTAATTGAAATACCAATTCTTTTGGAATCTTTCAGTGTTATGACTTTTGCTTATGGGAAAGTTATTTGCTTTTCATGTTTACTAATATATAATGTATGCTTGTTTTCTGCTGTTCCAAAATAAAACAAACCTTAGTTAAACTTTTGGATCAGTATCCTCTTGATAACTTGCTCATTGACTGAGAAACTCTACATAGGTTGTTCTAAAAGCAAGTTATTCAATATATTCCCATTTGTGACACTGAAAATCCTCCTTGCTTTAAGTTCTTAGAAGGGATGTTTTTCTTAAGAAAGAACAGATAATTTTAACTGTAATATAAAAGAAGGATGCTAAAATTGAACACCAATGTTCCTTTAATCTCATGCTTCAGTACAGATCAAAGGCCTTCTGGAGACTTGGTTTACATACACACAATATTGAACCAAATTACCTTCTCAATGTCAAATTAGATAGAAGCTAACATTTAGATTATGTTTCTGGTTTAATATATATATACCTAGACTTTAGAATTTTAAATTTAAGGAATAATACATCAATATTATAAAAATTTTAATAATTTGTTTAGGAAAATTAAAACAAACTAGTAAAGATTTATTGGTAAAAATAATTACTAATTTTTGTTATGACATACACTTTAGAATATGTGTATGTAGAAAAAAGAGTTTTGGCATTTCACATAGGAGGAAAAATTATAACTCTGCTTTTTAATTTTTATGTTGTAATATATATCCACAATCTACCCCTGTGAAATTATTGTAGAAGTCTTTCATTGTTAAAACATAAAAGTTCCTACTTATACACATTATATATCCAAAATTCAAAACTACATGGTCTTTGTTCACTGTGTTCAGCAGTCTGAAAATATATTAAAAAAAAAAAAAAACAGCTGTGACATCTAAAACGTTTCCAAGTTCATTGATCAACTCTGATAATAGATTAAAGTTAAAATTTTAAATATTGCACTTAAAAATGTTGAAGTTTTTGTTCTTAATCAGTATAACTTATTTTTTTCAACACTTCTGTTTTCTTTCTGCCTTTGTAGTTATAACATGTAAAAACCATATATGGCTTTTAAAACACTTAACTTCACATCCCTGGTGGTCTTCATTTATGAAAGTACAGTGGAGCTTTTTATTAGTGATAAATTAAAAGAAGACTTGTGGGGCCTGCCTGGGATTCTCCCTCCCTCTCTCTCTACCCCTCCCCAGCTCATGCTCTCTCTCTCAAAATAAATTAAAAAAAAAAAAAAAAGATGAATCATGTCTTTGACTCAATAGGAGATGTTGCTGTACCAAACCTTACTATCTGTCAGTCTGCTTCTGTTTAGTGTAAGCACTATAGAATTAAGCACTTTTCAAACTATAGGATTACACAAATGTTTTTAGTTCTCTTATTTTTACTGGTAGTGTCATTGCTTAGAACTTGAAGCTGTATAGGCTAAGGACAAATCTGGTTCTTTTATGAGACATTTAATTTTCATCTTTTCTGTGACCACATTTCTTGAACATGTGGACTGAAAATGTAATTTCCTACCATTTTATAATGAAAAGAGAAAGTGGATGCCCCACTAATGATGGGTAAGGAAAAGTTGAAGGTCTTGGAAAGTATGATAGAACTTTCATACTTTAACCTTATTTACATATGCAATTTTCAGAGATGATTGCCAGGGAAAACCTACTCTTGGATAGTGTAGTATGCAAATACTGTTTAGGGAAAAGTGAGGTGGTTCTTCCCTTTTGTGTGTTTATTTTATTTTTGAGGGGAGGGAGGGGCAGAGAGAAGAGAGGAAGACAGAGGATCCAAAGCAGGCACTGGGCTCACAGCACAGAGCCCGACGCAGGGCTCAAATCCCAAACTGTGAGATCACAACCTGAGCTGAAGTCAGATACTTAACCCACCGAGTTACCCAGGCGCCCCTCCGAGAAGTGGGGTTCTTCTTGAGTAATTAGTGCATTTGAACTAATGCAGCCTGGAAGGTGGTTAGATAACTTTGGGATTTGCTAAGCTTTACCTACTCTAAGAAGACTCCATCCTCAGAGACCATAAGTCCTCAAAAGTTTCCCTCAGAAGTGATTACTTCTGCTTTAAACTTGGCATGACCATCCAGTAGCTGTAAGGTAGTAGAATAGCTTCCTGCCCTTTAGGAGTTGGCATACAAATAATTTTGTGTAAAAGTAAAAAAAATGATAATCTCTCTTCACAGCTGTGACATCTTACGAAGATCTTGGACTCTTTGCATTTGGATTACCTGGAAAGGTAATGTTTTTCCCGCCTTACTGTCTCCAAAATCCATACAGGCATTTTTTCCCTTCCATTTCTAATTAAAAGAGACAAGTATGTCGAAGAGAAAGAAATTCAGGGGAATAAAAGGAAATAAAGTGAAGAAAGACAGAATGATGTGAACAGGAAGAGAGAGAGAGAAGAAATCTTTCTCTATGCCCTTCTGGAAAATGCATCAATAAATTTAACACTTAAATCTAGTTTTTTACCCTAATGAAGGGGAGCAGTGACTTGAATAATTTTAAAATTATAACAATGGCCTGTTTTAAGTATATTTAAAATTAATTTTGATTATATTAACTGGGTACATCTTCATAAACACATGGAAAAAAGTGTAGAGTTAAAATTATAGCATGACTATAAAACTGATAATTAGATTATATTATTTACAATCTGAACAATGCTAAAAGATTATCTAGCTCTCCCCTCTTTTATAGGTGAGGAAATTAATGCCGAGAGAAATGCAGGGGCCTATTTGTCCACACTTACTTAACGCTAGTATTACATCGTAGAACTTCAGATTCTAAATCAACTGTTTTTCCTCCTCAGAATAATAGAAATAACAGCAGTATTAGTGGGGAATTGATTTGTGATAGGCATATTAAACCAGATTGAGAGGTAGAGAAAACAATGTCGTCTTCCACAGGTAATCAGGAGTTACATATTTTTGTTTGTGCTATAGTACTTTGTTTCTGAAGACCTATCATATTTCTAAAATCTATTTTCATGTTGGTTGCAAATAGGCCTTTTTCTTTCCATTATCAATTTGTTGTTTATATTTTTTGCTTGTTTATTTTGTTGGTAATCTTAAAGGATACAGTATCTATAGACGGCCAAACTGACTCTAAGAAGTGAAAATGGGAGGAAAAAGATCTAGCTATGTAACAGGGGGGAAAAATCTTGGATTTACATTCATATTAACTTTGTTCTTAAAATTACAAAAGGGAATATCTAAATCATGCTATGTAGCCTTGTGGGTTGGACCTTGTCTTAATAACCTGAAACTTGAACAAAATGGAGAATATGTTACTTGCAGGTAAAGGGTTTTGGTAATCATCCTGGTAACAGTTTCTCTTTCCTGAAGATCAGGATGTTTGGTGTAGTTTTGGTCAGTTTCATGCATCCAGTTTAACCAAGGAAGAAGAAAATGTTACTTATATAAGAAAACTCTCATTAATTTAATATGATCTATAAATATGACTCTAGGCATCATCACTGTTATTTCACACTAGTATTTCCTGCATTCCTTGAATAGCAGGAGAATCTAAAAAAGCATTTACTATTGAGAATCCCCTTTTCCTAAAACTCTAGATAGTTGCATGATTATTGATGTACGCACTCAGTTCTAAGTAGGCAGGTGCATAGAGAATTCTCTAAATGAGGAATTGTATTTTGCTTTTTTAATATTTCCTTTCCACTTCCACAATTGGGTTGAAACTTTCCTATTTCCTTCTTTCCAGATATGACACAGATATGGATATGACATAAGATAACATTGCTCTGAGAATTAAATATTTTTAAGTTTTTTGAACTTTTCAGAAAGATTTTTAAAATTGTCTATAAATCCATTTATTTACTCACCAAACACATATTCATTGAGTAAATACCATCTGCCATGCACTATACTAGGCACTGAAGACCTAGATAGGTAGACAGACATACTGACTTTCTAGATCTTAAGTGCTTAAATGCAGCCAAAAATGGAAAGATAATCATGAATAAGTTGATACTGTGTTTTTGAAATATATTAGTAGAAATCCACATTTCATGTAGAGTGACAATAGTTACAAATTGCATATGAAAGATAGTGTGCAAAAGTTCACAACAGTCTTTTCACAAATAACTGTGTGGTTTTATAACTAATTTTTGAATGGGTGGGTATATAGAGTTTCTTCTGGGAATGTTAAAGTGGTGATTACTACATCTTCAAAGACACCGATCATTAACCCTCCTCTGCGAACCCCAATTCCTCTAGAGTTTGCAGGATAACCAAATGCTATGCCACTGATGAAATTCCTAGTAGAGGTTAGTCTGAAAGGTGATCTGTTCCCCATCCATGAACTGAATGATCCTAGATAGGTAGTCCACTCTGAACATATACTGGGGGTACAGACCCACCAGCATTTATGTGATTGAAGGGCACAAGTGGAAGCAGAACATTTAATCATTTGCTCTGAGGACATCTGATTACCAAGAATGGATAAAGGGTCTAGAGTTTCCCAGGAATCTCATCAGAATCACAAGCCATCAAGCCTGCAAGCCAAACTTAGTCCTTAGGCATATTTTGTTTGGCTTAAAGTTTTTAATGTGTAACTGATTGCCAACTAAGAGTTATGAAATTCTGGAAGAATTCAGTTTCTGACTTTCTTTGAAAAATTAAGGGAATGTAGAAGATATAGCTCCATTGGATCCGCATTCTCACATGCCAACTGGCCAGAGCTGAGTGGCAACTGCCCCATTTTGAAAGGGGAGGGGTTCTTAACAACCTTCTGTTGTCTTACACTAAGTCCGCTCCAGATTATTGAGTTTGAAATAGTTTGCTTAGAATTTCAGGTTTGGGATATGTGGGCTTGAGAGTGTTCTACTCTAGACTCTCCCTGAGACAGGAGGTTCAAAGGCTTGATGTATGCCATGCTGACCTGCCCAGAAGACGGAATCATTTCCTTTTATGCAAACAGCACCGGCACAACACATCTCCAGCTATCACAGTCTACCTCCTGACGCAAGGTCACATTCTACCTACTAAGGCAGTGAAAAGGGGAGAATGAGATCAGATAGATTTAATTTCAATTTTTTGGTACTTTGATAACCACCAGTTACTAGCTCTTTAACACTTTTAACCATTTAAAAATGACTGCCAAGAAAATTTTCAAAAGCATTCTTTATAGTAACCCTGGAACTGTTAAAGAAAGGCTTTTTATGTGGTGATAATTCATTTTATGTATTACAAATGGCTGACAAAATGTATTCTTTTTCAATAGCTCTTCACTCGACTTCTGCATCTGTATTTTAGTAATAGTTATTGGATTTTATAAAATACTGATCCTTTTCTATTATTTCTTTCATCTTCTGAATACCTTTGTTCTTTCATAGATGGTGGTAGCAGGCACCATCATAATTCAGAGTATTGGAGGTAAGCAATTGAAAGTGAACTGCTTATGCATAAATGTGGTGGAAATGATTTCTTCATTTTGTTTATTGTTTGACTACAGGTCTAGCTGGGATCCTGAATTCTGGAGAGATAGGGGTCTTCAGAAACCCTCAGTGTTATCCTCCTTTCTCTCTCTCTCTCTCTCTGTCTGTCTGTCTGTCTGTCTGTCTCTCAGATCCTTTTTATTATCAGGCCTTAGGGGACAATAGCTTCTAAATTTAGTTCCAGGTAAACCTTGATTTCAATCTTGTTATTATGTCTGCAGCACACCTCTAAAGCATTGATTTTCTGTTAGTCACGATAGTGGTAAGGCACAGTTTGGAAAAACTCTCCAGATGATTCTAAAATATTTTCCCTCTACTTTGGTCTTACGTACCCCATTGGCAGATATTCCTTCAGAAGTGACGTTTTTGGGCTGTAAACAATCCAGGGTAGACAAGCAATGTCCTCTTATAACCAAGAAATTTAAAAATTAAAAAAAAAAAACCTGAAACAAATAACCATTCTCACATTTACCTTGTATCTTGTTTTCATTAAAAAAAGATCCCAATATTGGGGCACCTGGGTGGCTCAGTTGGTTAAGCATCTGATGCTCAGTTTTGGCTCAGGTCATGCCATCATGGTTCTGGAGTTCAAGCCTCGTGTCAGGCTCTGGGCTGACAGCTCAGAACCTGCTTGGGATTCTCTCTGTCCCTCTCTCTCTCTTTGCCGCTCCGCCATTCATACTGTATCTGTCTCTCTCAAAATAAATAAATAAACTTTAAAAAAAAGATCCCAATATCGAGAACCTTGTAGAAATGAAAATTACTGTTAATTATGGATAGTTACTGACTAAATGTATTAAATATTTCAATCCAAAATATGGAAATCATGGTTGTATATGTTGTAAAGAAGTTACATAGTGCTGAACAATGTCTTAATTTTCTTTTACCATTGACTGGTGTGCTAAATAAATGCTGTTAGTTTAAAGGAAAATAATACACAGGGAAGGTTGACCTGCATTTTGGACTTTACACAAGACTGTATGTTCAGAGGAAATTTTAATCTTATTTCTTACGTGTCACAGTTCAAAATAGTTTAACAATGACAACTTTAATAAAGTTCAACTCTGATTCTCAAGAGATATGAGCTATTTTACTTTAAGTATTATTCAACCAAATTCTGTCTTTAATGGGTTTCTTGGTCAAGGAAAAAGTTAACATTCCAGTAATAAATTGTACTTGCCATTGTTTTGGAAATCCTGAACATTCATGTTTTAATTCCTTGAATTTTCATGGAAAAACAATGTTATCGAATGAGAAGAATGCTTTCTTGGATGGCGTACTCTTTCTAACCCACACCACTTTACTGGAAGTCAGTAACCAGCCTCTTCCTTCACGAATCTGTATAATGCTATTGATTTTAAGATCTGCCTTGGAATAATTTATTTTAGCAAATATGTATTGCTTAAATGTGCACTTATAATATCTCACATCTCATATAATATCTCATATGAGTATATTTTAATATTTTCTGTCCCTCATTATTCTATCTGATTACTAAGAACCATCACATTTTGTTTAGATTAGGTTGACTATTGTTTGGCATTTTATGTAGAATTTTCAATCCAGGAATTTGGATCTAAATTTGTGACTCTGCCAAAATGCCCACTGTTATATTCTGGATATCCTTCATTTTGATCCTTTCCTTGCTCTCTCATTTTGTATCTATTACTGTACACGATGTATTTTAACATTTGTTATTAGATATTAAGTTATTTTTGTATATGCTTTTCTCCCTTACCATATATATATAATATATAATATATACGTATATATTATATATATATTATATATATATTTTTTTTATCTTTATTTTTGAGGGAGAGGGAGACAGAGTGCAAGTGGGAGAGGAACAGAGAGACAAAGAGATACAGAACCCGAAGCAGGCTCCAGGCTCTGAGCTGTCAGCACAGAGAACAATGTGGAGCTCAAACCCATGAACTTCTAGATCATTCCTTGTGCTGTAGTCAAAATGAGCCACCCAGGCACCCCTGTCTCACTATATTATAAGCTCTTCCAGGGCAAGGACTAGCTCTCATTCCTTTTGTACTCCCAGAACCTAGCACAATACCTGAGGCTTGATAGACCTTTGTTGTACTGAATAGAGCTGAATATTATTTGTTTGAGCTATGTCCAGGTCCTTTATAATATTCTAGATATACTTTATCAAGAAAAAGAGAAAAAGGAATAGTGAGCTAGACCGCTCACTAGCTTTAGATATTTGAAAAGCTGAATGTGAAATTAAAAGAAAAATGTTCTCGAAAAAGAATGTCCTAGAAAGAATTCCTATATCTGGTAGCAGATAAATCATTAATTTTCTCAACCCTAAATATGTTGATTTCCTACTTCTTTTACATTAGAACCTTTTTTTTAGAAAAAAGCGACTGAGAGTCAGTCACAGCAATTTTTAATGTCCCTCAAATTCAACAAAGCTGATAATGCTCATTTAGTTTTTAGAATGATATCCTCATGATTTTCCTCACACTGGCTACAAGTTTATTTATTGAGAGCCCACTAAGTAATAACTGAAACATATTTTCAGAGGGGTTTTCTATTGTTTTACCAGATATGCATACATCCTTCCTTTGTTATAATAGAAGAAGCTTGTTCTTGTGAGCAGATCACTGGGTTGGAAGTCAGGTGCCCTGGATTCTGTGCTCCAGTCTTTGCCATTGGATAGCCATGTGCCTTGGGGAAGTCCCTTCTCTCACTCTCTTGACTTCAGTTTCCTTAGTTAAATTGCTGTGGGAATTGGATGGGAAACCGGCAACTTATTAAGGTTCCTTCTTATTCCAAAATTCAAATTCGGCACTTTGGGAGGGCATGTTAGCTCCTCCAGAGTATTGAAATATTTTTATTACAGGTAAATTCAGTAGGAGGGTTATACTTGGACAAATGATGATTTGGTCTTTTCTTAGGTATCTCTAACAAATCTGGAACTATCTCTCTAAAAGCTTTCATGGATGCTATTGTCAGAAAAAGGGAGTCTCAGTTTTTCAACTGCCTGTCAGGGCAGCTGCTGAGCCTCTGAGGTTAAAAAGTCTAGGGACTCTAGTCTTATGAATTAGTTTTGCCTTCTTTTTTTTTTTAAGATTTTTTTTTTACATTTATTTATTTATTTATTTTGAGAGAGAGAGAACACGTGTGCACGCCTGACCTGGGGAAAGGGGGAGTGGGAATCCCAAGCAGGCTCCGAACTGTCAGCCGAAGCACAATGCAGGGCTCAAACTCACCAACTGAACAGAGAGATTGTGACCTGAGCCGAAACCGAGTCGGATGCTTAACTGACTGGGCCACCCAGGCACCCCATATGGGTACATTTTTAAAGAAGAAATTTTTTGATTGATGCAAGTTGGTTCTGTGGAAGTCCTTAACAAGTACTTACTAGACTATGTGTGCTTGAGAAGCCCAGCACACTTACCTGGGGGGCTCCTACTATGTTGTCCATATGACTTATTTAATGCTATTTCTTCAAAATGGATTTTGCCTTTTTCTTTATCAATTAGAAATATATCAGATATTTGTAAGATGATATGAAGTATATAGCATCAGATTGAATATTTGTACTTCTTACATGCCCATCTGCATGTAATATCATCCCAATACCATTTGCTAATAGGATGATTAATATTAGTAAAAATGGCTATGTTTTTGCCTTGATAGTTTAGAACTGGAAAATGGAGATAATGGACTGACTCTATCTGGGCCAGACATTTTATGATACATTTTAGTTGTACTTACAGCAACTCTTCAAGGGAGATGATGTTATCCTCTTTTTACAGAGGAAGAGGTCAGTGCGTAGAGGGAATAAATAACTTGCTTACACTTAGCCCTTAATAAAGCTGGGACTCCACTCTCTCTACTTCTAGAGACTTCATTCTTTCTGCTGTGATATAGGAAGTGTTTGAACTATGAAAATACTAACGTTGAGGATTTTTTAAACTCCTTGGGGATAGGAACTATGTGTTTTCATTTGTTTTCCTAACTTGACCTAGTTTCTGGTTGAGGAACTCAATAAATAATATTTGTTGAGTTTTAAAAGTTCTAGTTAGCCTAATATTTTGCCTCAAAGAGACTGTTTTATATACTGTGTTAATGATAGGAATTTGAAAACCCATAGAATGATTTGTAGATTAGAATGATCTAAAAAATCAACAGGCTGAAAGTATTGAGAGCCAGATCTTATTTACATAAAATAGAATTGAAATGTTTTGAAATCTATTATTTTCAGGTTAGGTAATCATGTTTTAGATTAATGCTTCCTAACTCTTCTATGCTTTGTAACATTTGAACACTTTCCAGTTTTCTTAGGATCTGTGCCCCTGATGAGAAATATGGAACAGAGAGGGGCGTCTGGATGGCTTAGTCGGTTAAGCGTCCAACTTTCGCTTAGGTCATGATCTCGCGGTTCGTGGGTTTGAGCCCCGCGTTGGGCTCTATGCTGACTGCCAGCTCAGAGCCTGGAGCCTGTTTCAGAGTCTGTGACTCCCTCTCTCTCTGACCCTCCCCTGCTCACGCTGTCTCTCTCTCTCTCCTAGAAATAAATAAAACATTAAAAAAAATTTTTTTAAAAAGAAATATGGAAGAGAGCCCTTTAAAGGCAAAATGATCATGAATTGCTCTTGATCAATATTTGTTACACGAATGTGTCAGTACAGATCCAGTGTATCCCCTGCCTCTCCTTATTACATAAATACAAGCAATTTGCTCATTCATTTGTGTTCTTAGTACCTAGCACGTAGTAGACATTTCATAAGTAATATTTATTATAGGAAGAAAGGAAGGATTAAGACGGAGAGAGAAGGACAAGCCAGCAGCCTGACTTGGTGCTTCTTTAGGAGGAAGAGACTTGACCAACTGGCAAGAGGGGATCATAACATATGAGTATGTAGCTTCTTTTGGAAAGAATTCACTGTCAGAGCTTCCAGAAAACCTCTTTCC